TTCTAGAAAGCATTACCAAGGTCCTGTTACAGTTGGTTTATTATACATTGGTATGATATAGGAGTTCTTTGTTTTAATCAAAGTTTCACTGACACGATGTAAGCTAAGATCCTGAGCAAATAAGCATTTGGAAACATATATGACATTATTGGTCGGCCTAGCCTTGACTTAGGAAGCCAACTGGGAACATCCACCCGCGTCTCCAGGAGCTACGCAGGCCCAGGATAGAAACAGAATATCAGAGCGAGAGTAAACTGACTTCATGGTTCTCATCAGTCTCCACCTTCATTCTCACTGCTTTTGAAGTTGTAGAAAGAAACATCCATTGTCTGTCATAGCCTTGATTTTTAAAGTGCAATTTTCAATCCAAAGACTGATAACTTTCTAATTATCCAGGCAAATACTATTGCCCTTCAATGAGCCGATGCTAGGAGTCTTTCTAGTTTAAAAAAAAAAAAACTTCACAAAACTAATATGCAGCCAAAAGGAAAATCAATCCTATTGATTCATGTCCACCCCATAACAGGACGAAAGAGAAATGTTATGTTTTCCAAAACATGTATTAACAGAATCTGATAATAAATTTCAAAATTATGTACCGGACCATACTGCCAGCCAAGTTCAATTTTATTCATGACCCAGAGTTCATGGATGTTCTCTGCCAGCTTTTCTCTTATCCTTTCTAGATGAGGAGGCAACACGATCTACAAAGAAAAGAGGAAACACTCATCAGAACCAAGTGCCATAAGATAGTGTTGACTGTCCTTCCCGTCAGCTGAACTAAATCACTGTCTCACAGACCATGAAGATGCAGCAACATAATCGGGTTCTGAACCAGCTATTCACGACAGTCTCTAGATAAATTTCGTTATGTGTGTGCACAGTCAGGGTTCTAAGTAAATAAACAAATGAACAGAAAATGAGGCATTGGTCTAAACAATTGGGAGACGCTGAATGAGTATGAACCAAGAGCAAAGTGATGTTAGTTCGCAGAACTGCCCCACATCTCTTAAGGCAACCTGACCGGCATCCACAGGCCTAAGGAAAGGCAAGTTTGTGCTCAGCCTGCAATTCAGTGGCTCTGTATGTCTGTAGAGACCTGACAACTGTGATTGGTTTCCCACGAACTCTATTGTATTTCAGAATTGCCTCAAGGAGAAAAGAGAGCTTTACAGTTCCCATTACAAAGAGAAAGTTGCCAAATACGGTGCCTCACGAGTTTAATCCCAGTGCTCAGGAGCCAGCAAAAGGTGGATGTTTCTGAGTTCAAAGCTAGCCTGGTCTCCATAGAGTTCTAGGCCACTCAAGACTATAGAGTAAGATCCTGATTCAAAAAAGAAAAAAAAGGAGAAAGTTTAGAGTCTTGATAAAGACCACAGGGTAGTTTATCAAATGAGTAGATGTTTTTACATCTTGGTGAGCCTTCCTGGATGACCCCCAGCTGGTTCCTCAATGGACCAGACACTACGATGCCCAGGATGAGGTAGCCCAGGGAAAGGCTGTCCCTGTGCCTATCCCTTGGTGAATCACTGAGCAGCCCAGCCTTGGTCCATCCTCCACCTGCAACTGCGGGCAATCCAGGTGCCCATTTCTGCCCCATCTACCATGTTTCCCTCTGAACTCAGGTAGCGCTAGGCACATCCTGCCACCCTCCAGCCACAGAGAACACAAACTGAACTGCAGCTGAAGGCTGTGCTTGCTTGTTTTAACTACAGAATGTGAAATGTGTGCTCAGGGAAAACAGGAACGAAATGACTTCCTGATCAACAACTGAAGTTTCCGAGACCTGCTATTACATCAACTTCAGACACCAGAAATATCTTCCATATTTAAAACTAATGAACTGAATTATCTAGACAATCTCAACGCAGTTACCTTGTTGTCCAAATAAAGCAGTATTTAATTTACTATCAACCCCGGGATCCTATGAAGCAAACGACCATGTGTAATGAGTCACAGACCCTGGGCATCTATTTAATATGTGATGGTGCTAGTAAGTCACACGTTCTACGCATCCAACTGGCAAGATGGCTGTCTTCCCCAAATCCTCAAGTAGACCTTTAGTCCTGGGCATTTTCACTTTGGAGCTATGACCTCCATCTCTACCCAAGATAAAGGTTATTTAAATATCAATATTATTATATCTATATAGGAGAAGAAATTAAGAACTCCATGTCTACTCTGAAAAAGTGTATACTCCAAAATTAGTGCACATCACATCAATGTGGCATTACAATGTATAGTGTATTATCCCGACGTTAAATCACCTGTCTCCCTAAAGTTGCTTATATAATTTGGCAACTAAGTCCCATATGTTGCTATATTTGGTTATTTGTTAATTTACAATTTGCATTTTATAAGCTAAATAATATTGACTGTTTTTTTATTTTCTTTTTTACATTTATTTATTTGTGTGTGTGTGTGTGTGTGTGTGTGTGCATTCATGAGTGTGTGAGCAGGCACAGGTGTGCCATGGCACACACATGGAGGTCAGAGAACAAGTTGTAGGAGTTGGTTCTCTCCTTCCACTCTGTGGATCCCAGGAATCAAACTCAGATCCTCAGGCTTGGCAGCAGGCGCCTTTAACCGCTGAGCGATTTCTCTGGCCACAGTATTAACTATTTTAATAAAACTTTAAAGACAATCCAGAACACAGCTTTTTTTTTTTTTTTGGTCTTTTTGACTGCAGCCCCAGCTGTCCTGGAACTCACTATACAGACCAGGCTGGCCTTGAACTCACAGAGCTCCACCTGCCTCTGCCTCCCGAGTGCTGGGATTAAAGGCATGCGCCACCACAGAACATTTTTTTAAAACTACATATTGTGACATACCATTAAGAAATCAATTTAGCAAAATAGGACAATTCTTTTAATTTTTTTTTCTTGGTCTTTTTGAGACAGGGTCTCCCTGTAGCCCCAGCTGTCCTGGAACTTGCTATGTAGACCAGGCCAGCCTTGAACTCACAGAGATCTGCCCGCCTCTGCCTCAAGACAAAATAGGTGAGTGGAGACAGGAAAGGGTATTATTTTATGGGACACATTTAGTGAAAGGCTGAAAAGCCATTGCTGTGGCTGCAGTCCACGCTTGAGAGTCACTGAATATCAGAAAACTGCAGTGCAAGTGACAACCACGGGCATCGCTCTTGGTACCTGGCTGGTGTCCACAGGGACAGGTGTGAAGGCAGCTTGGGTCAGGGAAACTGTGGGGCCCAGCAGGTCCCGTGTGTACGTCCGTTCTTGTTTATATTCTCGACTGTGTTCCACTTTCAACTTCTCTTTCGGCAACACAGCTTCGTAGCAAGCTGCGTAACCAGGTGGAGGGAGAAACTTAAACTCCCCATGTCGCCCCCCAAGCAGAAAGCGAACCCTACAAAAGAAGCAAGTTGGAGCCAATCATACCTTTGATATATGTGGAACTTTTCCAATGAATATTATTAGGGAAAATTTACTAGTATAAAACTAATTTTAGCCAAGCCACATTTTTCCTAAGTATCATTAGAGGGACCTGGGTACCTAGAGCTTCTGATTCTAAGAAGTGAGCATCATGCTGGTTAGTTTCAAGTGCACTGATCCAAACCAGGGAGGAGAGTCTCAAAGAGGGACTGTGCAGATCAGGCTGGCCTGTGGGTGTGCTGTGGGAAATTATCTTGATTGCCTTAAACTGATGTGAGAAAACCCACCCTGGTTTGGGGCCCTGGACTGTATGAGTTGAGAAAGCTGAGGATGACTAGGCACGCACACCTTCATCTCTCTCTGCTCTTGACATGAAGCGTCCTATGACCAGTGGTGTCAAGTGAGGGACTGTAACTGCCACTGTGAGCTAAAGATGAAACTTTCTCCCTATGTTGCCTGTGTGTCAGGGCACTTTATCACAGCAACAGAACTGAAGCTGGAGAACAACATCATATAATAATAACAAAAACAGAAAACTAGGCTAAATGTGCATTCGTAGATCAGGGAAGACTTGGGACTCACTAAATTAAAAAGAATAGTAATTAGTAATTAGCCGGCGTGGTGGTGCACACCTTTAATCCCAGCACTCGGGAGGCAGAGGCAGGCGGAACTCTGAGTTCGAGGCCAGCCTGGTCTACATAGTGAGTTCCAGGACAGCTGGGGCTACAGGGAGACCCTGTCTCAAAAAGACCAAAAAAAAAAAATAGTAAAGGAACATGCATATTTTTTCCATGTAAATGAAGAATATGTCTGTGACAACTTAAAGTCCCAAGGTAGCCAAATATCAGTCAAACAACGACAAAAAATATGGGACCTATGTATTTGTGTGCTCAAATGGCAGGCGCTGGATGAGGTATCAGGAAAAACCTTCCACTGTCCAGAACCTGCTTTCCTAAGGAAATTCCTTGAAGAGAACTTGGATGTCAGTGGTTTGCTGAAGAAAGCAGGTGATCATATTTCTTAGACTTTGTCACTTTCAACAACTCCAAAGAAGATCTTGCTATGAGAATGTGTACATCACACACTGCTTAAGTAAAAATAATGTGAATTTCACTGAAGAGCACTTTGTAACAGTTAAATGACAGCAAGATGTTCTGGAGCTCAGCTTACAAAAATAATTCCTTTCCTAGTTTATGTTTCAGTTCTAGGCAAAAAAAAAATATTACCCTATATAAAATA